CCCTGTTCTTTCCCACATATGATTCCTCAAGAAAGCACCAGCCCCACCCCCACCCCACCCCACCCCACGGTCCTATTCTGTCTGGCCAGCGGAACACCCCCCTGAAATAACCCCTGGATGAGCCCCGCTGGGGGGATTGCAGATGGCCTCCGGCCCCGCCACCCGCCCATACCCGAAAAAAAACAGAACGAGGACACCACAGAACACACGCAGCCTCCATGTGCAGATCCGCGCACGCGCCGTGTTTCCACACTCAAATCCCCACGGCCACGGGGAAGGAGGCCCTGTCTGGAGGGCGAGGCCGGCCACATTTGGGGGGCGTGGGGGGGATCCCTGGGCCTGGCTGGCCTCCCTCCACGCCCGGCCTCACTGCAGGGGCCTCCCCATGCGGGCCTCCCTCCCCTCCAGTTCCCACAGGCCTCACAGCTCTGGGAAGTTCTCCCTCCCCACACCCCCCCTCCCCAGCCCCCGGGGGAGGGCGGGCTGGTCTCGGGTGTGGCCTCCTGGGTACCCCACATGTCTCCCCCATCTCTGTTCCCCCCCCAATGGCTTCCTCCTCTTCTCCACCACCAACACCACCACCACCAGCATCTTCAGCCTACACACCCAGCACGCAGAACCCCAGCTCAGAGCGAGAGCCACGTCCGCACCCCCACACCCCGGGCCCCCCCCCCGGGCCTCCCGGAGGGCGGTCCTGGGCCGTGCCCTTGGGACGGAGTCACCAGGCGGGGACCCTGTGGGGACCCCAGGGCCGGGGGCCGGGGTGACCCCGCTCCGGGGGGCTGGCGTGGGGCGGGGAGTGGGGCCGCGAGAGATCTTCCAGCGAAGACAGCTCCAGCTCGCTCTCCTCCTCAGAAAGCTGCAGGGGGGGGGAAACGTGTGATGAACCCCAGGGGTTCCCAGGGGGGACTTAGGCAGGCTTAGACACATTCCCCCTCCCCACCACCTCCCCCTCCCAACTCCAAAGTCACTAGCAAAAAGCAGGGCTGGACGCGGGGCTCAGGTGGTAGAGCACCGGCTGATCAAGGACATGGGGGAGGGAGGGGGGAGAGTGGGAGGGCCTGAAGTCCAGCCCTGATACCACCGAGAGAGAGAGAGAGAGAGAGGGAGGGAGGGAGGGAGAGAGAGGGAGAGAGAGAGGGAGGGAGAGAAAGAGAGGGGGGGAGTTGAGAGGAGAGAAAGGGGAGGAAGGAGAGAGAGGAGAGGGGAGGGGAAGGAGGGAAGTGAGAGAAGAAAGAGTAGAGAGAGGCAGAGAGATGAAGAGAGTAGAGAGAGGAGGGAGAGGAAAAAGGAGGGAGGGAGGGAGGGAGGGGGGAGGCATAGCTGGGATGTGTGAGAACGCGTTTCCCTCTCTTCCTGCCTGTCTCCCTGCCTTCGAGAACATTCTCCAGAGACCCCAGAGCCAATGGGAGAGCTCAGAGTCCCCCCCAAGGGGACATCCCCGGCCCCCTCCACCAAGCCAGGCCAGGCCTAGTCCTCCCCCTTACCTGCCGCCCCCCTCCCGCCGTGGCCGTGGCCGTGGGCACCGTGGCCGCGCTCTGTGGCCTGGAGAACACGCTGACCCCGCCCGCAGGCTTCTTGGCCGGCGCCTCGAGCTGCTTCTGAAGGCTTCTGACCAGGGACTGCACCAGGGTTCCTGGGACACAGGAACACAGGGGGGGGACACGCACGGTGATCGACACCCGCCCCCCAACCCAGAAACCAGAAGCGGACATACAGCTTGTCCATGTAGTAGGCCCAAGCACTTTCATTTTAATTGATTAATTAGCTAACTAATTCATCTCGGGGTGTGTGTGTGTGTGTGTGTGTGTGTGTGTTAACTAATTCATCTCGGGGTGTGTGTGTGTGTGTGTGTGTGTGTGTGTGTGTGTGTGTGTGTGTGTGTGTGTGTGTGTGTGCGCGCGCGTGCTGGTCCTGGGATATGAATTCAGGGCCTAGCTACTGCCCCTGAACTTTGTTTTCCTCAAGGCCAGTGCTCTAGCATTTGAACCACAACTCCACGTCTGGATTTTTGTGTGTGTGCTTCATTGGAGATCAGAGTCTCATGGACTTTGCTGCTCGGGCTGGCTTTGAACCGCGATCCTCAGATCTCAGCGTCCTGGATAGCAGGCCTGAGCTACCAGTGCCTGGCATTTGTTTCGAAACATTATAAAATACTATCGGTTGATATCATCAAACGTGAAGAGCTGATGGATTTTTGTTTTTTGGGGGGGGGCGATCGTGGGGCCTGAACTCTGGGCCTGGGCGCTGTTCCCTCAGCTCAAATCCCACCACTGACCAGAAGGGAAGAGAGCGGAGGGAGATGGAGACATGGGGGGTGGAGGGGTGGGCGGGTGAGGGGCGTTGACCCTCATCCTGCTCACCTGAGGAAGCCAGGCCCCCGGAACCCCGGCCATCCTCCTCTTCCTCTGAGAAATCAGTGTCTGACCAGTCCACGACTTGTTGGGGTGGGGGCGCTGGCCTGGACGGAGCTCTGGGGGGCAGGGGCGCCATCTGCTGGACTCCATCTTCCCCTGAGTCCTCTTCGGGGGAGCTGAAGGGGGGTGTGCTGCTGTGGGGGGGCAGGGGGGGGATGAAGGACAAGGAAGGGTTCAACGGAAACTGGAAACGCAGCCCAGGCACAGTGGCTCACGCCTGTCAGCCCGGCTCCTCGGGAGGCTGAGATCCACAGGATCGTGGTTCCCTCTCGATCGCCGAGGGACCGGCAAAAAGCTGGACGCAGGGCTGTGGCTCAAGTGGTAGAGCACCAGCCTTGAGTTGGGGGGGGGGGGGGAGGGAGGGCCCGAGGCTAGCCAGGACTCACCTGAGCCTGAGTCCCGGGGTGGCCGGGGTGGCCGGGGTGGCCGGGGAGGCTGCCTGAGGCCTGGGGCGTGGGGTGGGGGTGGTCGTGAGGGTGCTGGGGGGCTCTGCCGGCTGGCGGCTCTTCGGCCGGGTCTGTCCGGGGGCTGGTGCCCTCTGCTGGCCTTTGGCTGGAATCACAGAGAGGGAAGTGGCCTTGGGCACCTTGCAGGCCCCCTTGCGGCCTGGACGTGGAGCCGTGACCCTGGACACGGGCTGGGAGGCAGGGGGGGGGGTCATCCGAGCCCCCACCCCCCCAAGGGAGCGGCCAGATGTCACTGCGGATGCTCGCAGCTGGGTTCACCGGCCGCCTTGCAGGACGGCCTGGAGGCCACTAGGGGTCAGCAGAGGACCATGTAGGGTCACCCAAACCCAGACACACCTGCCACGCACCCGCGCAGGTTGCTGGGGCCCCAGGCAGGCCAGGAATTGGGGCCCCTCCCTGTCCCAGATTGTCCCCCAACCTCCCCACACACACACACACACAGGCGGGGAGACTAAGGGGGAAATCAAGCAACATTTCTGGACAATAAATAGGGG